GAGGAGGAGGAGGAGGAGGAGGAGGAGGAGGTCCGAGGGTCTGGCAAGCAGGGCGCCCACCCGCCATCTGCTGCAAAGCCCCTTCCCCTCCTCACTGACACTACACACTGGCTTTTAGGGACCTGCAGCCCTCTGCCTCAGCTTCTTGCCCAGCACCATCTTGGAGGAAGAAGAGGTGGCCACGTGAGGGAAGGAGCCAATACTGACTTGTTCCAGGCAAGCACATTTTGTCAATCTCCCATCCGACTGGAGATCAACAAAATGTGGCCTGGAACAAGGCAGGAATCTGGAATTGGAGGATCTAAAATGCCCAGCCGAGATGGGACATTTTTTTAGACCCTCCAATCCTTGATCGACCCAGCAAAAAATGTGAGATGGCAACCCTATCTTAACAGCTCTTGGGGAGATCAGCAGGCTGCAGTAAAGAGAGATGAGCCCTGCTGAAAGATTATTTGCTTCCCCCCACATTCCTTTCCTCTTTTGTGCCAAGTCCTCTCTGGTGCCTTTTTGCCTTTTGAGGAGCAGGATAAAAGTAGTGTCAATAAATAACTACTGGCTTTAGAATTTTTCCCTGGGATTTTCCAATGCAACAGGATGTTAGTAATTCCCTCTCTGCACTATTGCACTCCATTGGTGCAAAGAGGTTCCTATAGGATTGCCAGATTGAAAACAGTTGTGGGCTTGTTGTTATTGTTTCCGACTTATGGTGACTCTATGGCAAACCTATCATGGGGTTTTTTGGCAAGTTTTCCTCAGAGGAAATTTCCTCACAGGAGTTTACCCTGAGGCTGAGAGCATGTGACTTGATGAGGGCCACCCAGTGGGTTTCATGGCCAAGCAGGGAATCGAACCCTGGTCTCCAGAGTCGTAGCCTAATGCTCAAACCACCACGCCACGCTGTCTCTTGTACTAACCTATACCCACATTTTTCGTTGCTAGTTTCATTATTTTCTATATTTTATACTCATAAGCAACCCAGAGTACATTTAATGTTTCATGAGACGCAAATGCTGAAAATAAATGAAGAATAATAGCAGTCTGAGAGACTGGTGAAAAAGGAATAGCAGCATATGCACTGTTTGATCCAAGGGCTGGCGAGGGCTCCTGTACCTTTAATGGTCATGCAAAAGAGGGGTTTCAGCAGGTGTTGCTTGTCATGCAACCAGGTAGCAAGCAACACCTGAAAATTCCCACTTCTACACAAATCTTAAAGGTACAGAAACCCTCTCCAGTTTTCACTCCAGCAACCATAGGGTGTTATGTTATTTTCGCCATAGCATTCAGCCCCTGTCTTTTTCCATTTCTACAACAAGTTTTCATGTCTAAGCAGGAACAGATAGCCTACCCAACATCCCTACCCAAACTATGGAGTAAAGAATTAAACGCTTCATACTCCTATTGCAGCCTATGCAGCTGCATTTTACATCTTCTCTAATTCAAAGCATCTCAACTGGTTCCAACTGAGTGGTCCTAAACCACCCAGTGATGCATACAAGCAAACAGAGGTAGGAATAATGATCCAAAGAAGACTGAATGAAGACTTTTTAAAAGCCAAGGGAATAGGTTTATTGGATGGATCATCTACCCAATCATGCTAAAGTGGGTTGAATAGAAAGAAGAGGGAAACACATAACAATGAACAACAAAAGCATCCAAGCTTCTTTTTAAGATATGGCACCCTTGCTTTTGTTTGGGTCAGAACTACATTGAAGATTTTTTTAAAAAAATCATGTCAATGATGATCTGGGGAAGTCAGACTTGGCCACAGTAGTTCATGCCTTAGTGATCTCCCAATTAGAGTACTAAGCCAAGTGTGGTGTTGTGGTTTGAGCACCAAACTATGTAGAGACCAGGGTACAAATTCCCACCTGACCGTGAAAACCCACTGGGTGACTTTAAACAAGTCATACTCTCTCAGAGTCAGAGGGAGACAATGGCAAAACCCCTCTGAAGAAACTTGCCAAGGAAAAACCATGATATGCCTTAGGGTCGGCACAAGTCGGAAACAACTTGAAGGCAAACAATATACACACACATACACAATGCACTATACATAGGGATGCCCTTGAAAAGTGTTAGGAAGCTGCAGTTTGTACAAAATGGAGCAGCCAGACTGGTGTCAGGTGTGGATTTTAGAGACTATATCACAAGAATTATGCTGGTTTCCAATTTGGTTCCATGCTTCCAATTCAGGCTGCTTGGTTTGACCTACAAAGCCTTACATGGCCATGACAAAGTGAAAATGGAAGAAACTAAAACAGCATTTATCTTTTGATTGCATTTTACTCTTTTAATGAGTGATGTTTTGATATTGTGCTAGTTTAATTTTATTTTGATATGCACCTTTGTACGTTTTTAATTGTACTGTTTTAATTTGTAAGCTGCTTTGCTAGGGGAAGCAAGATATAAATGCAGTGGTCCCTCCACATTCACTGGAGTTAAAGGTGAAGGGCCCCCATGAATGTGGAAAAACCACAAATAAAAAAACATTATTCTTTTTACCTGAGAGAACACCTCTCTAGGAATCTCCAGGCCCTCCGCTGCAACTGTATGAGCAACAGCTGCCAGAGGTTGATCATAGAATCATGCCGGAAGACCTACAAATGCCTAGAGAAGTGTTTTCTCTAGGAACTTTTAGTTTCTCCAGCACAACAGTATGGTCAACGCTATGGACATGAACTACTGGATAATCATTGACATGATTTTTTTAAAAATTGGAAGAGTTGTGCTGGAGGACCTAGAGATTCTTACATAGAACACATTAATTAAAACTGCAAATAATCATAGCCGCAAAAGTCAAAGCTGTAACTGTGGAGGACAAAGGTATTCCCTATTGACACAGTTGTCAAGTTGTGTCCCACTTAGGGGGCTGTGCTCATCTCTGTTACTAAACCCAAGAGCCAGTGTTTGTCCAAAGACTACTCTGTGATCCTGTGGCCAGCATGATTACACAGAACGCTGTTTACCTTCCCACCAAAGTGGTACCTATTTATCTTCTTGCATTTGCATGCTTTCAAGCTGCTAGGTTGGCAGAAGCTGGGAATACTGACAGGAGCTCACCCCATCATGCAGCACCTGGGCCTCAAATTGCCAACCTGCTGATCTTGCAATCAACAGTCAGCATCTTAACCACTTGAGCCATTGCAATAATAATAATAATAATAATAGCAGCAGCAGCAGCATTACTAATGTGGACTGACTTTCCAGAAAGGCTCTTCTTTTTTTCCAGCCTGAATCACACCAGTCAGTATATCTTTTGTCACCTATTGCAGGATGCTACTAAATGCTGGTGGCATGAAAAAGAAAAGGTGATTCCATGGGAGATTATCACCTGCAAGAAGGCCCAATTACAATCCCATGGAAGTGCAAAGTGGTCTTACTAAGGCCTGTGCATGCAAATGAATGGGAGAAAGGAGAGGCCAACATTTCCTCTCAACTATTCTTGAGGAAAGAAGCCAAGGGGGCATTCAAGAAAACAATGGTACTTTTCCCCCAACCTTATTAGGAGCCAGATTATGCATGCAGGATAAGCCTGGTCTGCCCATTTATCTAGGTACTTCTCACATACATTAGGTCTAATTAAGAACAAATGTAGGCCTGTGTATTCCATCTGAAACAATGAGAAGCCCAGGAGGAAAAGTTCCCACATATGAAAAGTCTGGGGTGTCAACAGGCAGAAACCAAAGTCTGCTCACTCTCGCATTTCAATGCTGAGGGTTGTTTCATACTTTCCTAGCAATAGCTGGGGGACAAAGCATTTCTAAACAAGTGAGGCAATGACCTTTATATGGATCAACTATTGAATGTGGTGGTTTTTAAAAAATGAACATGAAAGCTTCTGAGTCACAGAGAATACATTCTCAGGCTGGGTTTTTGAGAGGGGAAAAACCTCAAAGAAAACAATAATAAAAGAAAAAAGGATAGTCATCCACCAATTAAAGAGGTTTTAACCAATTCATCATTGGCCTTTTAAATGATCAGGGCAATTGTTGTTTTTAAGAACCACAACTAATACACTGACTTTTGCCATCAGACACTGGAAATACATAAATATAATTAGGTTTTCTGTACTGTGTGACTTTATATAGCTATGGAATATGATTTAGTCTGCAAATGCTTCTGCATTTTGCCAATCTGTCTCAATTGTTTGGGTAACTATATTTGGCCCTAGGTTATTTCATTCATTTTTTAGAGGGTTGATGTTATTTGGCATGCCAGATTGCTGGAAAGGAGACTGAGAAATTTTTATACATATGCAACACAAAATGTCTCTCCAAAAAAAAAAAAAAGGTCATACTTTTCTTCTCAGCCACAAGCTGAGCTAATTTCCCCCCTATTTCACTGCCACTAAACAAAATGTAGGAGGGACTGGTAAGCCCTGCCTGAATATCAAAGACTGAATTAAATATCTAAAATATTAATGATCAGCATACAAGTTGTGAACAATAATTTTAATAACTAACTCAGAAGTGAGTGATAAATACTTTTAATATTTATATCATAAACCTGAAAAAAAGAAAGGCAACCATGTTGTGAAATTTAAGGATTGGGAAAGAGTGGTGTGTATGTGTTCCAGTTCCCAGTAAACTGATGGTGACCCCATGAATTTCATGGGGTTTTCTCAGGCAAGGGATACTCAGAGGTGGTTTTGGCAGTTCCTTCCTCTGGATTATAGCCTACTCCACCTGGATTTGTTAGCACTCTACCATCTAAGCACTAGCCAGGACTGACCCTGCTTAGCTTCCAAGATCAGACAAGAACTAGTGCCTTTAGGCTTTTTAGGACCCAGGAAAGAACTTTACTTGGAGTACATTATGCCATGTCTGTCTGCACAATTTTTCTCCTGTTTTCCATTTGCTCCAAGCATCTGGTGTTAGCCCCTTTCGAACAATGAATTATATCTGGAGTAATATATTACAATTGTTATACTCACTTGTCACTTGATCCTCACTAACAGAAAGAATATACAATCCTTGATCCAAAGAAATTAAAATCTATATATACTATGTACTTGCATCTATATTTTTAAGCATTTATATGTGCACGCCACACTCCACACTCCCCTTACATTACTTTTTAAACAGAAAAAGTAGAAATAACAAGGACAAGGATATGTTCCTATACTACAAAAAAAGAACAGGTTCAACATGTTTCAACATGAATACATTTTATTCAAAACTAAATAATATGCACATGTGAAATGAAACAACCAGGTCAGCTAAATCTTGCATAAGTAGACAAAAACATTTTGAATCTTCTAAAGATCACATAAAGGCTTCTTCCTAAATGCATCCAGGGATGACTTTTTCCTTTATCAGCCTCCACTTTTCATAGGATTTCCAAATCATAAGAATGTCCTAAACTTGATGGCCAAACTTATAAGATCTATGATTTTTGTTAACAAACTGGAGGTAGCGAGTGAAGCAGCTTTGTTTGCGCTCCCCTTTTCTCTCTGTTTTGATGTTCACAAATGCTCAGTACGGGACTATGGAGGCGTTTACCTTGTGTAGGTACACATAGCCATAGCAGGATTGGCTATAGTAAAATCCCTTTCTTTTCCAGCTCAAGCTTCATTAAATTGTTTACTGCAAACACACTGCTGCAAGTTTGTTTCTCCAATCCTTCTTCACCATTCTTCCAACGCTGATGTTGCTAAAGCAACAACACAACAGCATCTAGCTAAAGAGATTATGAGAAGGAAAAGGGGGGTTTGGTGCACATAAAATACATTGTGAAAAGGAGCTTCACTGCCAGAGGTTTTGTTAACTGAGATATGCTGTATATCCATTAACAAAATTCTATTACCAGTCTGAACAACCCAGTCTGCAAAAGCATATTGCTCCAACAGATGAAAGATCTTTATTATGGACATATGTGTTCATGCATACATGTATACGCCAGA